ATACTCGACCAATTGTTTGGCAACCGAGCTTACATAGCAAATGCCCTCAATTCTAACAATGCTGGTGTTTCGTCCACGATAGCAGCTAGTCCAGAATTCGGATTTGGTTCTCTCCTAGCTCGAAAGGAGCACCGCCAAAGATTCGTTAAGGAGGCCAAACAAGCCGCGAGCACAGGGTCTTTCATTACTGAAGCACCAGTTAACTGGTTAGCAAAGTGGGCCGCAAATGCCGATGATGCTAAACAAGCTGGTGAGCTTGCAGACGATGTAATTGCTCGACTCGAGACCGATGGGTCTTCAATTGCGCGTGAACTTTTATCAAGTAAAGGTTTATTCCGAAAAGAGTCTTTGTGGCTCGTTGGATCTGATGCTTGGTCATATGACCTTGGTAACTCTGGTGTACATCATGTCCTTGCGTCTGGTGAGAATGTCAACATTCTCATCATCGACTCGACTCCTTACTCGGAACGAGCTGCAGCGGATGCTGAGAGGCGAAAGAAGGATATCGGTCTATATGCCATGAACTTTGGTAATGCCTACGTTGCATCAACTGCTGTTTACAGCTCATACACCCAGGTCCTTCAAGCTATGCTCGAAGCCGATAAATTCAATGGTCCTTCAGTTGTACTTGCTTACCTGCCATACTTCGGCGAGCACGACTCTCCATTGACCGTTCTACAAGAGACTAAGAAGGCAGTAGACCTCGGCTACTGGCCTTTATACAGGTGGAACCCCGAGAACGAAGATAAGGGAGAGCCCAACTTCTCTCTGGATTCCGAGCGGGTTAAGAATGAGCTAAAAGAGTTTTTAGCAAGAGACAATAAACTCACTCAGCTCATGCGGCGCGAACCAGTATTTGCTGCAAGTCTATCTCAGGATTTTGGTACAGAAGTTCGCGCACAGCAAAAGCGAAAGGCTCGGGACGCGTACGATCAGCTATTAGAAGGTCTCTTCGGCGCACCTCTTACAATTCTATTTGCCTCTGATAATGGAAATGCGCAGTCGTTGGCCAAGCGTCTTGGGACTAGAGGTCGCGCCAGGGGCCTAAAGACTATTGTGATGGCGATGGAGGATTACCCCGTTGAAGATCTACCAAAAGAAGAAAACATTGTGCTTATCACTTCAACAGCTGGCCAAGGAGAATTCCCGCAGAATGGCAAGCCTTTCTGGGATGCCATCAAAGATAACACTGATCTAGACCTCGCATCAGTAAACTATTCGATTTTCGGTCTTGGAGACAAGCATTATTGGCCGCGAAAAGAAGATAGAATTTACTACAACAAGCCTGCCAAAGACCTCGATAGAATATTCGCGAATTTCGGCGCCAAGAGACTCTCCGAAGTAGGACTAGGCGATGACCAAGATCCCGACGGATACCAGACTGGATATGCGCTCTGGGAACCCCAAATATGGCAAGCACTCGGCGTTGCAAACGTCGAAGGCTTACCAGAGGAACCCGCACCCCTAACAAACGAGGATATTAAGCTAGCTTCGAACTATCTTAGAGGCACTATCGTAGAAGGCTTGAATGATACGACCACTGGAGCTATCTCTGCTTCCGACCAGCAGCTTACGAAGTTCCATGGCACGTATATGCAGGACGACCGAGATATTCGTGATGCGCGAAAATCCCAGGGGTTAGAGCCTGCCTATTCATTCATGATCCGTTGTAGATTGCCCGGTGGCGTGGCTACACCAAAGCAATGGGTCCAGATGGATGACATTAGCACAAGTCTCGGAAACGAGACCATGAAGCTCACTACGAGGCAAACATTCCAGTTCCACGGCGTGGTGAAGGGAAAACTTAAGCCAGCCATGCAAGCTATAAACAGGTCTCTAATGACGACCATTGCTGCCTGCGGCGATGTCAACAGGAACGTCATGTGCAGTTCTCTACCCACTCAGTCTCAGTACCACAAGCAAGTCTGGGCTTGTTCGCAGACGATTAGCGATCACCTTCTACCGTCTACTACTGCGTACCACGAGATCTGGCTCACAGATGACAATAATAAGAAGACGCAGGTTGCTGGTAACGCAGTCCAAGACTTCGAACCTCTCTACGGACCCACCTATCTCCCTCGAAAGTTTAAGATTACAATCGCCATTCCGCCGCACAATGATACGGATGTTTATGCTCATGATGTCGGCCTTATTGCCATTAAAGGTGACGATGGTCAATTGGAGGGTTTCAACGTTCTTGCCGGAGGAGGAATGGGTGCAACCCACAATAACAAGAAGACCTATCCCCAGACCGGTCGTATGATGGGGTTCGTAAAGACTGATGAGGTCCATATTGCCTGTGAAAAAATCATGCTAGTACAGCGGGATTATGGTGACCGCAAGAACCGAAAGCACGCTCGACTAAAATATACTATCGACGATCTCGGCGTCGACGTCTTCCGCTCTAAAGTCGAGGCTTTATGGGGCAAGTCATTCGAGCCAGAACGTCAATTCCACTTCAAGAGCAACGTCGACACGTTCGGCTGGCAAAAAGACGAGACTGGCATGAACCATTTCACATTCTTTATCGAAAACGGCCGAATCGAGAACACTGCTGATTTCCAGATGAAGACTGGTTTGCGCGAAATCGCCAAGATCCACAAGGGCGAGTTTAGATTAACGGGAAATCAGCACTTGATCCTCAGTAACGTTACAGACGAAGATCTTCCGCATATGAAGGAACTTCTAAAGAAGTACAAGTTAGATAACGTCCAGTTCTCTGGACTGCGTCTCAGCTCTTCGGCCTGTGTTGCCTTCCCCACTTGTGGTCTCGCTATGGCTGAAAGTGAACGTTACCTACCCGAACTCATCACAAAGCTTGAGGGTTGTCTCGAGGAGAACGGCCTAGGAAAGGAGTCAATTGTCATGAGAATGACAGGGTGTCCAAACGGCTGTGCTCGACCCTGGTTGGCAGAGGTTGCCTTCGTTGGTAAAGCCTTTGGTGCCTATAATATGTACCTAGGCGGTGGATACCATGGACAGCGGTTGAATAAGCTATACCGATCAAGCATCAAGGAAGATGAGATATTAGCTATTATGAAGCCATTACTGAAACGTTATGCCTTGGAACGCGAAGAGGGTGAGCACTTTGGCGATTTCTGTATTCGAGCAGGCGTCATCGTAGCTACCAAGGGAGGGCAGGATTTCCACGACAACGTAAGTTAACACAATACACAAGTTATTATTGCTCTCTGCTAACGTATCTCAGGTTGCCGAAGAAGACTTCGAAGACGAATGATCTTTTCTATTATATAAAATATTAAAGCATGAAGCATGTAAGCATTGCATCGGGGAGTGGCGTTAAAGGAATTATGTATATATTCTTTATTCTACTCTAGAGTTACAGTTAACTATTTGTTACCTTACGGAACTTGGAGTCTCTTTTAAATTTCCAATGTGTCTTTACTATCAATAAATAGACCTAGGTAGGTACTTATGTAATTTCCTTCGGTTACTTAATGTATAAGAGAATAGGTTTCTTAAGAATATCGGTTAGGTATTAGGAATGAAGCTAAAAACGAGACACAGCTGAGTATTTCTTAATAACTGGTTGATTAGGTACCTAATGTAACCCTACCCCCTTACCACTACATTGAAAAGCCATGGGGTTATCTACCTAGGTAGGTACCAAGACCTACAACTACGCTACCGAGTTCAAGGACACTCAGTAACTACCTCCATAAGTTAGAGGACGGATTCAGATATGGCCAAACCCCGCATAAGGTCAATTATGTCTACAGGCCTATACATTTGCCAAACTTTCCGAACTTGTCACTCGACCTTACCGTTTTTCATCAGAGATCCGTTTTATTCGTACTCCTCGTATAAATTAGGAGGTACCTAAGATATCACATAAACCTTGCATATATTCAGCGCCCCCGGAGACAAGGCGGAGTTAAAGCTAAGGAAAAAGCAGCGGGTGCATTGTACCCAATTAATCCAAAAAAAAAAGACTCGACGTAAAATCCATAACCTATTATACACATGGGAATGCAAAATAGCTTTTAGTTTAACCGCCAGCCCCGAGAGGGCATTAGAGACCGACTACAATACACCATTCGGCCTTACCAAAGAGCCTGGATAGAGGGTGACGGTATTCCGGCTGAGCCGAGAGGGGAATATCCTATCAGTCGTCATGCATCACATTATATGTGATGGCTGGTCCGTTGATATGCTTTGCAAAGAACTTGCAGCTTGCTACTCTACCTCGGTGCGCGACCATGATCCCCTTTCTCAGTTGAACCCTCTACCGATTCAATACAAAGATTATTCCGACTAGCAAAGACGTCGACAGCAAGATAACAAAGGTACTTAAAACAGCTCGAGTATTAGGTCAAGCAACTGGAAATAAGTCGACTAGTAGAGCTTCTCTGCGACAAGGTCCGACCCGTAGCTTTGTCGGGACATACAAGCACGGGAATATTCAAGATTGAAGGGCGTGTTTATGACAGGCTGAAAAGCCTCTACGCCTGGTACGATACCACGCCGTATATCATCCTTCTTACGGTGTTTAAACTGGCACACTATTATCTAACCGGCCAAACTGATGCTACTATTAGCACGCCGTTTGTCAATCTAGATCAATATGGGCTCAAAGACCTCATTAGCCTTTTTGTCAACATGCAGTGCTTCCGCATTGTGATTGAAGACGATGACACGTTTGAAGGCTTGATCCATCAGGTCGAGTCGGTAGTGGTGGAAGGCCTCGAAAATAAAGATGTCCTCTTTATGAGCACAATATCTAAGTTTTATAAGCATTGAGGCTTGTCGCGACACAGATATAGCAATATTCAAGAGTGGTGGCAAGAAGAGCAACTAAAAAGGAGTGCGTATTATCTTTCAAGCCAATTACCCCGTATATGTTTTGATATAATATGTATATCGCTCTTTAGGTATGTCTACGGTATGCTCACACTATATGGATCTTAGACAATCTTAGCTATTTATCAGTAGATTTAATTGTTATGATAATCAGACCATTAGGCAAAGTAATACTGTAACTAAACGAAGCTGTGGGATACTATAAGGGGTTAGAGTATCAACATCACCAACAATGTACTTATTAAATCATGGAAGCTAGTTATATCCCCATTTACTGATTGGTAAAATATATTATATGAAGGGTGTTTTAACTCGGCACTTTCAGTCCTGCTACCTATTCAAACAGCAGTATAAATCTTACAAAACTTCCTGCTCTTTAGTCGCCGTACATTAAGCTTCAATGACAAACTCGCCTAAAATGGTGTCAATAACTTTTGGGTATTAATAAACGAAGCCACCCCCTAATAACATTTGAATCGCCTTTTACAATACTCAGAAAATAGAGTGTATCAAGTTCGATATTCGGCTCGCCAGTGACGAGTGAGACCCCCCAGTGTGATCACTGCGCCCCGATTCGCTAGAACGCCTCCGTTCTTGTATCTCGGTCACAAATTTTGGCCACGTGTTAGTCAAGACCAAGTACTTGATATGCTTCTGCGCACTGTCGAATACAGTAGCATCGAACGCATCAGATATCTCGCCCGCATACTGTATTCTGCCAGCCACCTCCGACAGCTCAATCCAATCATCGCCACTACGCCCTTGCTCCTTAGCGGACCCGTCGACCGCAAATGGCGTGGCTGGATCAACACGTGCTTCACCACACTACAGTGGTAATGTTAGCAAGTCACTTTTCTAGTGATGGATTAAGGGGTCTGAGATACGTTTCAGGGGTGCGTGTCTATGACGCCTGAATAAGGAGAAGGAAACTTTTGAATAGAGCATACCAATATTCGTGCCGGACTTTCGAAAATAGATTCAAGGCGCTTGAGATCCCGCGATGAGAGATTAAGAGGGAATTCGGCGTCTCGGGGGCTGATGAAGCTTGTGTAAATAACCAGTGCACGAGTAAATACGTCGCGAATCTGATCTTCGTCTGCGGCACTAGACCATGATAATTTCCAGGAAGCCACTTGTGTTAAGAACGCAATATTCTCTCCTGAGAAATCCCTCAATGCCGAGAACTCCTGTAGCGGACCCGGATTCTCATTTAATACGTGGTCAAGGGCGTTCATGGTGAATAGGCGATCGCCCATCTCAGGGTCTAGGAGTTCCAGTGCGAGACCCTTTTCCATATGCGAGGCAGATTTGCATTGCACAGTTGTGGAGTTCTTCAGGGTCGTCTGTGACGCAGTATCCCATCTTGCGTTTGACTCGGCTGCCCGTTTGCGTAGGCTACGATGCCTCACAACTAACCAACAAGGAACAAAAACAGCAAAGACCTCAAACATCGTGACGGAAAGATGGATCCTACGTCCGTCAGTAACCTAATATGACGACTTCAAATTTCGGGCTGCTTACCATTCACTTGAAGAGAAATACTTATTGACCGGTTCGAAGGCAGGCAGATACATCGATATGAGCCACAGCGGTGTAGCGTGAAGACTGAGGGATTATTAGTAAATAAGAAGCCTATTTGCGACGCAAAGACGACCAACTTGGAGAGACAACATCCTATCGTCTGAAAACGCCAGCCCAGCGTATCTCGAATACCCCAAGCCTTCCATATCATAATGGGTGCTATCTAGGTGGTTAAGTTAATATTAGAGTCTACCTGAGTTCCAGATTTAATAGACTCACTATCCATGTCCATATAACTTGCCAGAGAGCAGTTGGCCACCACTCCCATCCACGACCTAGTTCTGTAATCTGTATGTCGAGCGGGGCATTAGGAAGCCCTGTACCAGCAATACCGAATGCAGGATGGTATTTACTACACGCGAGCCACATGCCAACCGTAAGGAGTATCTGAAAATATATTAGCAACTAGCATTAAGCCGTTTAGTGTTTCGAGGAAAACGAGCGTAAAATATACCTGTACTATTATTCCCAGACCGATATAAATCAAGATCCTTGTTGGGTAATCCAAGTTTCTCAGGCGGCAAAGCCACGAAGTGTTTGCTCCATTACAGCCCGGCTTCTTTTGAAAGTCGGTCGGTTCCGTATATCGCTTCTGCATTTTTGCAACATACAGGAAGCGGGTATTGGAGGCATGGAACATAGCAACACCCAAAGGAAACCAAATACCCATGAAGAAATATTGCACACTGTAAGCGACTATGATGGGCATCGTTAATCCGACGGGATACGTAATCTGAGCGAGAACCCAGTACACGTGAAGGAAGGCGATTGCAGTAAGAGATAGGCCTATACCACGGACCTTGAGGATCGGATTACTACGATTTGCTATTAGAAATATCATGCCGAGAATCAAGAGAAAGGTCCACGTTGCGCAGAATGCAACGTAGAACGTGCCCACCTTATCGAAGTTAGGTGGGCGTGTTGGAAGCGAATATATGTCGGGCTGAACTTGGTCTGCCATAATGCAGTAACTCGATGCTCCTCGGCTGTCTTTGGACAAAGGGCCGAGGAACCGAACCTCTAGTCAGTGCGAGGTAGTCCATGGTTCTTGAGGCTATTTAGTACAGACCCCTATTGCCTCAGAGACTACGACATTTAGTGAAGAATACCAAGGGATCCAAGATTAATCTTCTCCTCCACGTCTGCCAAGTTAATATCAATCTCGAGTCTATACCCTTGTTGGCGTGAAAAGGCGCCGATCTTCTAACTATTGTCAATATCGTGTCTGACTGATAAGAGGGAAAAGAAAAACCCGATACAAGTGCTGACTGGACCCTGCGTTATAAATCAACGGCTTGGTTTTCCCATACCCCATCTCAAAAGCAAAAGGGGCTGGATTGGGCTCCCTCTTAACATGTGCTCCCTTACGTAACAACTCGATCTCATACGTGATCCAGGCCGCAGATTTACGTATCGGTACGTGTAGCTCCGATGAGGATTTAAATTTAATAGTATAGTAATAGTATAGTGCACTATCGAGCACCGGTGCGGCATCGGCGAGAAGGTAATAGACTTGCAGTATTCCCCCCTTTCACGGTGATTTTACAAGGAGTTAGCCCGCTTATACGCTACGGCGGTTGATATACTACACTCGATCCTCAAAATGCATACTTCGTGACTATATGCTCATAAAGAAGCAGGATTCGATGTGCATACGATGACGCAGATCCCGTCGATTTCCCCTGGTAAAAGCTGCAGCCGTCAGAACCTAAAACTCAGCTCCGAGTTCCCAGAGGCTGAAATTTGATCAGGTATTTCAGAGACATGGGGTAAGAACGCCACCAAATACTGACAATCTGCTGCTGTTATAAACGCGACTAACGATACCGGCCGCAAAGAACACATCTCTACACCCGGTTCACGAAGCAGTCGTAACGAATACCACCGATTCCAGCCGAGAGACGCTTGGCTATACCATATATGTAACGTAATTCATACCTACAGACTCCGGACCCTACCTAGGATTAGATACTTTGTATACGTAAGAAACCTCGCGGAGGAATGCGGGACAAGAGAAAACGAATCATCCAGCGTATTATCGTATAAGTCGATCAAAAATATCAAATACGGCGTTAACAAAACGCCGATCCAAGTTTCCTATCTTGGGTCTTGGTGGCGAAGACAACGAACGTCTTCGCGCGCATCGACGTGCCGTGTCTCACTCTACTCGGTCCAATTACCCTTCGCATCAATATCTAACGAATGCAACTAGCCGCGATCTCATATATCCTGAGGACCCTTAGCTATATCACCCCATGACGACGTTGCGAGGGAGACATCAGGAGAGACAGACAGACAGATAGACAGACAAATAAATATTCTCCATAAAAACAAATCGTCTGCAAGGATATAAACGTCCAATCAGAATAGCATATAGTTATGACATTCTCATACTACACACTTTTACAAAGAACTTCTCTTCTCTTATTTTTCGACCAATCCAAATATTTTTTTTGTAATTTCTAATTTCTAATTTCTTCGGTTTTACTATTCCCCCTCCCTCTCCTTGACCTTCGAGTCCTACGTAGCCATTCACCCATCGAGCCTCTCCGCCCGCACTATACCACTATGCCACCCCCCCCCCCATCTAACCCACGCACGCACGCACGCACGCTCGGTCCCCTTTCTCTTTCTATAACACCCGTCCACCACAATTGCCAAAGGCAAGTTCCGAATTCTCCTACCTAGTACGAGAATTCTTGGCCGACCAGCTCCTCGCTCATCCTCCACAGCAGCTCGGCTTCGACGGGGCTCGTCGCCCAGGCCCTGATCCCGTCCTTCCAGGGGTCGGCTAGGCGGCACCCTAGGAGGTGTGCGCCGTTGTGGGCTGCGGGCGTGCATATGTATATGTAAGCGCATGTAGGCATATGCGAGCGAGTAAATTCCGCGAGGGAGAAATGTCTTGGCAAAGGGGATGAATCGTATATGTATGTATGTATGTATGTATGTATGTATGTATCAACAGGGACGGTTGGTAACCACTTACCCGTGATCTCTGGGTCGAATGCAGCGTACACGTAAGTAGCTGTACCCTCATCTATGGTCTGAAAGTCGCGGTCTTGCTTCCAACCCCCGGCAAGGCCCAGCAGACGAGACGTTTTGGCTAGAATACCCCTCAGCGTTAGATTTGTCGGAGGCTAGAGAGGGGTACTCGGAGTTGCAGGTTGCACTCCGGGAGGTCAACTGCTTACCTAAATCTGCAAACGAGTGCTTCCAGTCGAGGAACGCTGCAAGGTTCGTCTGGACGGTTCCTGGGTTCACGCTGAAAGCGTGGAGATTATACCGAAGGCCGAGCTTCTCGGCCAATGAGAGCGCCATGAGCATGTTGGCTGTCTTGGACTGACCGTAGGCTATCCAAGTGTGGTAGACCGATTCGTCCTGAGTTGTGGGTTCTATGTTTAGCACTATACCACGGGTATATCGAGATACATAGGGTCACGATTTCATAATAAGGAGCCTTACTCGAAAGTTTGGATCTTCGAAACGGATCGGGCTAAGGTTGTGACCATCACTACCGATGTTAACGACACGAGGGGCATCGGATGCCAGAAGCTTAGGCATTATCAGGTTTGTAAACAGGAAGGGTCCTAGATGGTTGACCGCAAACTGCGTCTCAAACCCGTCTTCAGTGATAGTCCTGGGGATAGCACAGACGCCAGCGTTGTTAACAAGAACATCGATGTGAGGAACGTCCGACCACTCCATGACAGTGGCGGCGGCGTAGCGTACAGCAGCTTGAGATTCCAATTCCAGTTTTACCATACGGACCTTAATATCTGGTGATACCGCGGAAACCTGGTCTGCTGTTTGTTGCATTTTGCTAGGACTACGGCCGGCGAGAATTAGCGTAGCAGGACGCATTGGCGCGATGAAGTCGATGAAGGCTGCCCCTAAACCCATGGGCGAAACACCTGTAATTAGTATAACTTTGCCCTCGATGAGGTCGGCATATTGTCTAGCTAGTTCGGTAGCCGTCTTGCGGACTACGCGGCGCCCGTTATATTCCTTTTCGATAACGGGTGCAGGCATTTCTCGTGTTTAAATATTGTATACCGTTGTACGACGCCGAGTCTTTGAATTGTAGGATTACACGAGACTGGATAGAAGATCTTATAAAGATCTCGAGAGACAAAGTTGATATATGATACTATTAGGCGAATACTCGAATGCTACGGCATTTATATAGTTGACGCTCTCTACATATTCGATGTCCACCATCAGATTCTACCGGCCCAACAGAAAGGCGCGTTTCACGACTTGGCTACATATCATGATACACAGGTTACGACATTTATTTTGAAGTTTTAAAGCCAACAATGCGACTCGGAAAGAAATTAATGCCGAGAACTACTACATCATTTCTAATATAGCCTCAAAGACTACCCTCCCACCTGCGATGATGCAACACGACCGAACAACAAGGACAAGACATGAGGTATCATTTCCCACTTTTGCCCTTCCTACATAGCCCGTCCAACGAGTCGGAAGTCTGACATCAAAGTATGCCCAGACCTGACCGACGCGGTAATTAAAACTAGAGTACATGTGAATTTCGTCTCATACCTCACAGCAAACACCCAACCCTGTCCTTTACCATCGAACCACAACTCCTAGACGGGCATCAAATAAGCCCCAAGTTTTCGTTCAGTCGTTCATCCATTGAAATGCCGGTGCGAGCAAGTAATTGCACCTCCAAAATGAAACCGTCGTGAATCGAAAACATACCGTCCCTTGGCGCTCACCTTTCCCTTCGCCAACCCTTAAAATCATGTCGCCGCGTGTCGCCGCATGCCGCCACGTATCACGACCGCACACTGCTGGTAATGCTGCTCATGGTATCGCTAATCTTGCTTCCGATCCCGCCCATCCACTCGGGGACCCATTCTGGTACCTTGAGACTTAGACGGACGCGGCCTTCGACGACCATATTGATCGCGTTCAGGATCGCAAACGTCGTGCTGCCCAGGGCTCGAAATAACGCCAGCGCCGCGACTGCCCATAGGATAAAGGAGAGGTAGAAGTTACCACCAACCTCCTTGTATCCGTAAGCTTCGCTGACAGCCATGGCGAGAATGGAGTTAGCCATCATCCAGCTAACAACCATGTATGTTCGTACACTCCGGTAGTAGTCCTCTTGCATCTGCGCCTCCGAGACCGGTGGTGTCGGTACTTCCACGCGGTCCCTAAGATTGCGAAGGGCCTCGTCATAGCCCGAATCGATATCCAGCTGCTCGCTCGGCATCTCCAGTTCCACAAAGCTGCCCTTCCCCACGGCCCCGCCCAGGTCCGTCTTCATGACGTTGTCTCCCTTGGTACCCCATGTGACGTCGTGGGTGTTGCAGAAAGCGTACACTTGCAGCGTGCAGATGTAGCTGGGCAATAGTGCAAAATATTGACCCGAACTAGTAATCATATGCCATGGATCCAAGTAAAGAAAACTCATGAGGAAATACAATCCAATTGTCGACGTCGTCGACACGATTAGATTCGTAAATGTGTTGTTGCCAAGCGTTATCTGGTCACCCTTGACCGTGTGGATGACGATAAAGATAGTCGCGAAAGTGGTATACACCATGATAATGCTGTATATTATCATGCTGGCAAGATATAGCTTCTTCGCTCCCTGCGGACGATTGCCTAGCGAAATAATGAACTGCATGCTGATTAAGAGCACACATGTGTACCGTAGCACTGTGAAGATGTATAGGGCGATGTTGTGCCCGAAAGGGTTCATGGTGGGATCCGTAAGCCCACCACCAATGAAGTAAAAAGCCAGATAAAAGTTCGCAAGAGAGAAGAAAGTGAACAAGAGCTGTATGAACTGATAAACAAATTCGATATGAAGGAGCACTTTGCGCGCAATGGTGTGATCCGTCTTCCATATTTGCTTAAAGTGCACTAGCGAGTACACAGCAGCGAAAAATGCGCCATTAAGCCAACGACGTCTCTGAGAAATAAACTCCGGGACAGTATCTAGGTTGTAGGTTAGTTATATCTGTATTTGAGCTTGAACAGATGGGCAGAAACTTACCAGGCACATCTGTCTCGCCCGTACAGCCTTTTACGTATTTTAACACCCACCTCTCATTCCTCTTTGCAACCAACTCCCAACACAGGATACGAT